TGGGTAGGCAGTCCGTCCTGTCTCTTAGTAACAAGCTCATGGTGTATTGTGCCATATTTAAGCTGATATGGCATTCAGTTAAGGGCCACTGCCTCCAAATCAAACATGCAATGACTTCATGGAGCCCAAAAGAACATCCTTCGAACTATCAGTGGTGCCTCATGGTACACCAGGGACATTGAAATCCACGAATACCTGGAGATTCCAACGATTGTAGAAGTGATGGACGTATATAGACGTAAACACAGGGATGGACTCAATACTCATCCGAATCCTATCGCTAAAGCACTGGTTGAAGGTGGCAATATTAAGAGACTGGAACGATAGCACGTTTTCGATGACTAGAAGAGACTGAAGCAGTGGCTATCTCGCTCTCAAAAGCCAAAAATGACTCAAACAATTTAATTATAGTCTGGCGACTGGTTATAAATAATATATATATAAAAAAACAAAATTATTAGAAATAATTATATGACAATCTATGATTCTACCTTTATTATATACCTAAAAGAGGGTCGACAAATTATATTCCAAGCTTTAGTTGCTCGATATTGCGCTTGACGTGTAAAAAAGTGATTACGTCCAAAACCAGTATGTGGTATTCAAATTTAGTTGACGATTTGTATTTTAATTTAATGTTGCTAGTGATTCTGTTTCGTCATATCTTTTTTTTCCTTCTTTTCCTATCTTTCCAATTTCACCAGTGCGCTTACTCTTCAAAACTATTATTTCTCTCGTGAGTTTGGGTGTAATTTGTGGTTGTCTATGTGTGTGTCCATGGCACCCGCGACACAGGGTTTCCCTAGTGCGGGGCTATGTTGAGTGTGTGCGTTATTATTATTATTATTATTATTATTATTATTATTATTAAAAACTATAACACGGTAATGCGTACATTACTGCTTGGCTGACGAAATAGGTACGTTAGCAGTACTTCCCTGGATAAACTATTTCACAAAAAGCTCTGCAGCTATTAGAATAATAAAGACTATTATGATGTATATTTATATATATATATATATATATATATATGTGTAATTTTCAATGTAAATTATAATTAATAATAATAATAATAATAATAATAATAAAATTCAAAATTAATCTTTTAGGCCTTGGGAGAGGCGAGAGTTTAAAATAAATACGATAATAATAATAATAATAATAATAAAATATCTTTATTTATCTCCATATTAATTAAAAGGGATCTAATTGCAATTCTAATCTAATTCAAATTTAATCTTAATTAAACTTAAAGTAGAATAGAGAAATGAATTTTGTCCACCGGATTTTGTTAAAAGTGGACCAGTCCGCGTGTGGTGGTGGTTTTACGTAAATATTCCACGTTAGCTGATCCAATCGGTCAATCTAGTTCTTTTCTTTGAGACAATTCTTCTCATAAAGTTTTCCTAAATCGTAATCAATTCTATATGTTATAGTAGTAGTTACGATGTCAGTCTACTTCACCTACCACCACCGTCACCCAGTGGCGTGTCTGTTATATTAATTTGTTCAAATCTTTTGATACGAATAAAGATTCGTAATGCCTTTTCTTGTTAGCGAGATTTTATTATAACAGTCGCTAAAGTTTTCAACAGTGTTTTAGGGTTCGATGTTAGTAATCCTTTTTCTCTTCGTGTGGACCCTTGGGGGTCGATTACGACCACTTTGAAAATCATCGTTCTAGGTAATAAAGAACTATGTACATGTAAGTACTTAACACAAAAATATATTATGAAATCAACTTGAAATATGTATATCTATTCAAACGTTTCTGAACATTGATTTTTATTTCAACATTGATTACAATAAAATTGGGCCTCTATAGGAAGGTCTTTTAGAATAAACAATTCTGTGTATGACATCATTTTTCATTTTCATCACTAAACCTTACGGCCAATAAATCATGCACATAAATAAATCATAGAACGTAAAAAAATTTGAGACGTTTTTTAAGAAACCTTCCTATCAAACAAAATGTCATGCGACTTTACCATTGTAAAACTAATTCGTTGGGTTAAATATTATAGTGAAATAAAAAACACAAGTAATATAAATTACAGGCACATTTTGACGTGCCAACTTATATCTCAGGGTGGCGGGGGTAGTAGCAGTGTCCCCCAGATCTTTGCGATTGAAAGCTTTGAGTGGCGCACGAATTGTTCGTCCCGTCATTTTATATCATAAAAAATGTAATCCTAAAGTTAAAATGAGTTTTGAAGAAATCAGTAAAAAATTAATAATACACTATTGCAGTTTCAATTACAAATAACACAATGATATCTACGTCTACGACTGACAATAGTTCTAAGTTTCATATTATTTATTATTAATGATTAATTTCATATTGTTTAACATTAATTGTTATTATTAATGCAAAGACAAAACAAACACAGAGAAAATTTCCTTCTGACTGGACCCGAACCAGTGTCTGTATGCCTAACCCGTGTTACCGCTCTTCCAACTGAGCTACAAATCGAGTCAGAGTTTTTATAATAAATTTTGATTTATAAATCATACACTCGAAGAGACAGGAGAACAGTCGTATCTGTTTGTTATAACTTGTAAAAATTTATCTATGTTGTTCAAACGCTCATGCTGATGGTTTTGAAGCTAAAGAACTGCCGATACTACAAACTTTGAACTGTAATAAACATTGCAACTTTCGAAATGCAGTAGCAGTAGAGCTCCTTGTGAAAGAGTTCTACCAAGGATGTACTGCTACCTTACCCAGTTCTGCCGCCGCGCCGTACGGCGTAATTTTTTAGGTTTTGAAAGGTTGGCGTGCTAGTACAAACACATTACACAGGACTTCAATTCATGTCTCAGGGTGATGGTCGCAGTGGCAGTGCCCCTCAGATCTTTGCGATTTAAAGCACGGAGTGGCACTGCAACTGCTATGGACAGGCATGTCGTTTACCATCAGGCGCACGACTTGTTCGTCCTATCGCATAGTATATAAAAAAAATTGCATTCTTCAGTTCAAATTTTGAAGTCAACTTAAATTATGCTGTAAATATTATCATGAAGATTGTCCAAGTTTTATGTATCATGAATGATCTATTGACTGTGAAAAAACTAGCCAAATTAAAGACGCTCAAACCTAGTTTTCGTTCCGATTACGTGAAGAGATTTGATGCTATGTAGATAACAATAGCGATAAAGAGATTTATTTGTCTACATTGACGTAACAGTTTAGTCGTATGTAATAAAAGTAAGAGTATTAACTTTAGCTGTTCAGCTACTTTGGAGTGCACGAAAGGAGCCTTCCCGCAATGGCATACACGGCGGGCAACAACCGGCGAATACCTTACGCCGATTGGAAAATCCTTTTATCACGATGGCAAACATACTTGGTACTTAGTGTAACGGGCTGGTGTCCGCAACTCGACGTCAAGGTGCCTATTTTGCGTGAAGTTGGCAAACATATCCAATGCACACCCAGCATGGCGGCTACTTGTGGCATGATCAGCGTGGCTAAGTTCTGCGCCGGGATAATATTATAGTGCCATCGATATGATAAGAAGTTTTGTCATCGATATGATATGATAAGATTTTATCACTGAAGTTGTATGACTCGTCTCGAGTAAAATTGTCATTAAACAATAAACTACAATCATATTGTCATGTTACATAGCAGTACAGCTCTTTATGAAAGAGTTCGTCCAGGGAATTACTGCCATCTTAACTATTTCTGCCGCCAAGCAGTACTGTGAGCGTTGCGTTCCGGTTTGGAAGGGTAAGGGTGCTGGTGAAATTACAGGCACATGGGATTTGTCAACTTATATCTCAGGGTGGCGGATGTAGTGACAGTGCCCCTAAGATCTTTGCGCTTTAAAGCTTTTAGTGGAGCTGCAACTGCTATGGATAAGCGTGATCGTCCCGTCATTTGTGATATAATAAAAAATAAACATTTTAAAATCCTCTAATCTTCTCTTTACCGTGTCGATGTTTTTTTTATTTTAGGACTATATTGACTTTGAATGATATGTTGCCACCTTGACTGCGCTTTCCGTGGCCGCGTAGAGATTCTCCCTCGTACAGGTATTAGGGTACAACGGGCACAAAGAGCTTGCAAAGAGCCTACTCGCGGTGCGCACTGACAACAGCTAGTCACGGTAACAACGGGTACCTAGACTTGCTAGTCTGTCCAACAAGATGATTTAACCTACTTAATCCTCTAATTAGAAGTTAGGATAATTATGATTAAAAAAAGTTTTTATGGTAAAGGAGACGAAGGTTGACCTCGGTGTACATTACTAAATTTAGAATCTACGTGTTTTTTTTTTTTAAAATCTTTATTTATTTAGAACTTTTATACAATGTATATGCCAGTGCCATCGTATCCTAAACTATAGTTTACATATCTGAGCGGCGCTGCTGGAGAGCCAATTCAACAAATACTGACAGGCTTTTTGCCTGTTTCGTGTGGGGATTGCTTAGTATTCAATTTATAGCACCTACGGTTGTTCGGTTGATCTGCATGTCTCTCATCAGTGCCGCCCTCTATTGTTCGTACCAGACACGTTCCAGAGAATCTATTTTAAAAAATTAAATCACCCGGAGTGTAGATATGGAAGAGGCTCTGAAAGTGCTGCTAATGGAGGTAGCATAAAGTTTCAGAATTTGTGGTCACTGTTTATCCCACTGGGAGACCGAATTACCGTTAAGGGTAGGTTCAGATGGACGCACACCTGCCGCGCGGTGTGCGCAAATGCTTGCAGTGAACAATAACACGTGATCATTTAAACAGCTACAATGTCCTGTCCGTGCCCATAATGTAAACGCGCGGCGACACGCGTTTGCAGCGGTGACGCGCGGTTTGAGAACATATTACATTTTCGCAAATGCTACATATGAAATAAAACTATTTTTTTTCGGATCTAAATTGCGTATTTGTGCGAAAAGCAAATATAGTTTCTTCAAACAAACCGTAGAAAAAATAGTTTAATTTCCAATTACTATTATAATTTAAGAAATTTTAAGTAAATAGTTTTCCTTACCTTCTGCGAAAGATAGAAATTCGTCCTCCAACGACCTGTAACAAACAACATTAATGTTAATTTTATTGACGCAGAAGAAGCAACGACTCCATAATAGGATTTTGCTTTGGTGAAATTTCATAGTCCTTTAACATTCCGAAAAGGTACAGAAAGCGATTCCGCCAATTGTAATTGGTTCACAAATAGTCACCCTTTGCAATCTGAACAAGTCAATTTAATATTTCGTTTCATGGCTACTAAATTATTTGATGATTGTTGCCTTGATTTTCTCGTAACATTTTACTACTGTTGTTTGTTAGAGCTGCTATTAATGGCACCTAGATTAATTAGACTCTTTGACATTTAATTAAGGAATTTAAAAAAATAATTGTAAGTGGTAAGTAGTAGTTTATACATCCGTCTAAAATGTAAATCATTATGAATTTTTCATACATACTTTGTAAATAAATAATAACAAATATTTTACGAAAATACTTTGTGACTAGACAATAACAGATATTTTACAAAAATACATTGTGAGCAAATAGCAACATATTTTTACAAAAATACTTTGTAAATGTTTATTTATAAAGTATTTTTGTAACAAATATATTTAGTAATAGATAGTAACAGAAGATGTTTAACAAAACTACTTAGTGAATATTTAGTCTTCATTAAATTATATATGTATATATTTATTACTGTATAAATATTTATTATACAGGAAGAATTATACAAGAAATTTCTTCCTGCAGACTAAATACAGGAAACAATAACTAAATTATTATGCACTATACAAGAATTTGGATAAATACATATTTCATTATAAAATACCTATCAAATTGATGGAGTAGTGGATAAATAATGCTTCTAAACTCTTATTTTGACATAAGATGTAAGACTTTATCTTCAAGATTATCATTCTTAACTAAATTACTTTGTAACTTGACATGTTTGTGACAATACAGTGTTGTGGTAGTCTAATTGACATTATATAACTAAACATTTGCATGCTATTTAATATATGGGAAACATGTTTGTACTGGCACTATCTCTTGTAACATCTTCTGTTATACCATGTTTTAAGCAAATAAACGAATTATTATTAATGTTGTGAACAGTAATAGATAGTGACACAAATGTTACTAAAACACTTTGTGAAAAAATTGCAATACAAGTAGTAGATATTTTACAAAAACACTTTGTGAATAGATTGTGACAGATACTTTACAAAAATACTTTGAAAATATATAGAAACACTTTCAACAGGTTTTACTTTTCCGAGCTGCATCTATACGAGCTCAAGTGGCTATAATGATAGTAGACCTCCGGTAGGAGATAGCTTACCAAGAAAAGAGAAGTGTTAGTTTCAGGTTCACTCTTTATTGACAAGTTAAGTTTAACTAAATCGTTTATCCGTAAAATTAAAATCAGGTTGATGGTGAAGCTAGCTTATTTGATGAAAATATTATTAACTACCTAAATACATGTGACGTGTGTCTGATGGATGGCGAATTAAGGAATAAGGATAAAAGAGCGTTGTGGTATGGAAAAAGATGTAGTGGCAAGATATAAAAAGGAACGCTTAGATGGTTCGGAAATGTAGAGTGAATGAATGAAAGAAGATTGACAAAACAGGTTTATGTGGCGAGTGTGAGTGGTCAAGTTCGTAAGAACCGGCCAAGGCGAACTTAACATGACTAAATTGAGAACGTTCGAGAGAAAGGCAGGTGAAGAGTAATCTTTAACCGACGAGCATGTATGTAAGCATCAGGCGCAAGATTTGTGTCAGAACCGTTGCAAGTGGATAGTTGTTGCCTAACCCGATGTGAAAAGGGCGTGAAGCATATGAATGTATAAAGATATAAAAAGATAATATACATTTGAAGCTTAAGTACTAAATCTACTTTAAATAAATGAAATTGAGTTCCCGCGATTAGTAGTCTAAAACGCGACAGCACTCTGACGCCCTCCCTTTGTGTGGCTATGCTAATAACCGCATTAACCCGACGGAGCATGGTAGCTCCCCTGAGATCTCCCTGTCAGAAAATCAACATTTGACTTTTGGATGTATTATTCAATTCTTAATGAATATTATGATTTTTACTACCATGATTTTTTTGTGAAGTTTCTCCACTGGTTTGTTATAATTATTAACAACAAAGGTACATATATACACACATACATAAGATCGTGCCCTTGTCCCTGTCCTTGTAGGGGTAGGCAGAGACCACGGAATGCCACTTTTTTTTTTTTTTGACGGGGTGGAAATCTTTATGGATACCCCTGAGCCCAGGGAGACTCAGGGGTTATGCGGGGACTCTCCCTCCAGACTGGAGGGCCTACCCCACTAAAACCCCCCCGGGTTTCCCTCTCGCCGGTTGAGTCGGCGCCGTGGGATCGGTGAACATTCACCACGACGCCGCCCGGCCGCCCTAGCTTGCGCCAGGGCTCCCGCGCCAACGGAGGGGCGAGTCGGTTGTCCTCCGACCCACCCCCCAGACGAGTGAGGCCGTGCAATGCAGGCTCCGGAGTCCCTGTCCAGAGCCCGCTGGCTTCACTAGGGGATCAGGCGAGCAGCGAACTGCCTTCGCCTTCTCCCCGTACGTCTGCGCCGAAGCGGGTGCGCGTCCGCCGCGTCCTCGCGCACCCGCTCCGCGGCCTCCTTTTGCGACATAACCTCTGTGCAAAAGGAAGCCACCGCCTCCCAGGACTCCTCGCTATCGAGCATGGCGGCAACCACGCTCGGCAGCGAGAGGTCCTGCCCTACAGTCACCGTCAGAGTGCGGCGCTGCTCATCCCACCGGCTGCACACCTCGAGGGTGTGCTGCGCGGTGTCATCCGCAGCGCCGCACTCGCGGCACGACGGGGACGGTTCCCTCCTCGCACGGAACGCCACCTTACTCTATCCTGACACAAGTTTCGAGCCTCACATACATCAACTACACTTTTCATACTTCTTTTATTCTTGTCACTTCGGATCCCAGCCTTTTTGAGGACATCACTGATCTATAAATCCTTCAAGGACGTCCTCTTAAAACCCTTCAAACCATCTTCCATCCACATTTACTGCGTTTCGTCTATGAGAAATCTATGATATTTCGTCACCCAGTTAGATAGCTTTACAGCGACCAATCCTGGCTAGAGACGTCGCTATACATTGTGTTTGAATTTTTATTGAATTGATATTCAATTATTTTTATGTGAAATTACTCCACTAGTTTGTTAAAATTATTAATACAAAGATCGAACATTCAGAAAAAAATCCTACGATCCGGCCGATTATTTTATTCGTAAATAATTCGATTTAGATATTTATTTTATCCTGGTTTCAGGATTTGGTGAAGTATCGTACATCCTATCGTGTAACAAATTAGCACATGCTTTAGACAATATCCTTAGGTGTATCTAAGTAATATGTAATCTAATATATAATTTTTTTTGTAAAACCGTTATTTAATAGTAATTAATTAAACCATTTGATCTTGCATCTTTCTATCTAGTTTTTCTCTCTGGTGACGCATTAAAGGATCATGCCGAAGTAAATAACAAACAAAACGTTCGTTAGCAATCTAATATAAAATCTCTTTGTACTGGTACGAATCTTAATTATATTCAAGTTGAAATTTGGAGATTAGCAGACGCCTGTTTATTGAGCCGCCATTTTTAATTGCGAACAGCAAAGGCCTGTCCCAACCTTGATGTCCACTTGTAAACCCATTGTGTATGAAGGAGATAAGAAACGCATCTAATCGTTTTGGTCAGCCGTATGTCATTTTGATACAATCAATAATATTTTGATACCTCCAATGTATACAATTACATTTTTTGGTAATTTTCTGTTTTTAATGTAAACAGGCTTATTTTAGGTAATATTAAGCTCCCCGAATTTTATCAAAAAAAAAGAAAGAAACAAAAAACAAAATCCGAAAAAAACAAAAATAACAAATTTTGTGAAAAAATAAACAAACAAAAAAATTAATTGATTGGAGGTATCGATTTTATCGGTTTTGAAGGGTGCTGGTAAAGTTACAGGCACATGGGATTTGTCAACTTACGTCTCATGGTGACGGGGACAGTGGCAGTGCCCCTCAGATCTTTATGATTTAAACACCAAGTGGCACTGCAACTGTTATGGACAGGCGTGTCGTTTACCACCAGGCGCACGATTTGTGCGTCCCGTCACTGGGTATCATAAAAATATTTTTTTCGAATGCTCCAAGTTTCGCTCACAAATAAATGAACATTTATTTTGCACGTCGGGATTTGCTTATTCATGAACTTTCGTAGAAGTACGTTTCCAATAAGGATGGCCTTTTAGACTAAATTATTTCTCAAACTATTTAACCTTCCAAGCTCTTAGAATATTTCGAATTATCACTATGATATTTTAATTACAAGAGGTGTTCTAAACATAGACAGAAATTTCCTTTCGAAGGAAATCTATTAGTTTCAGTAGTTACGCAACATATTTTTAACCGACTTCCAAAAAGGAGGAGGTTCTCAATTCGACTGTATGTCTTTTTTTTGTATGTATGTATGTATGTTTGTGTTGAGTTTGCTATTTCTCCAATTCAAGGCGTTTCTCTCTCAATATAGTTTGAGCAGTGAGAACCGATTTTTATTATCTCTAGTGTCAAGTCCTGTATAGTGGCGAATTTAAGGATATCTCAATAAAACTTAGCAAATAGACGTAATTCCACGTACATTTGAGGTCGGTTTTTTTAGTACTCTATACTGAGATTATGTAGAACAGTATCAGTTTTAGCTTTTACCTATTCATGTTAATTAATTGACTAAATTTGTTTCAATTAAAATCGTCCTGTTAGGATACAATAAACGACGTTTTAAATTCGATCCGTTATTTCCAGAAGATTGATCCTATTGATTCTTACCAGATACCAGATCGAATGGCATAAAAAAAGTTTTGTAAAAATTGCCTTTTATCTTACAGACTGTACCATTTTTTCAAAATCTCTTCAAAATTCATGCATAGCCTTCTAGAACCGTTTTCTTGTAACTACAGCGATTCTAGAAGGATTCGATCCGGTCTCTG